CAGTTACCCATGGTATACACCCTCTATGGCCCCTTTTCCACGAAAATAATTAAACAAATCAGCTCTGGTTCTTGAACCGGTTTCGTTCAAGATTCTTGCAACCTTGGTGAACCAGCCTGCATTTCCACCAGTTTTGAGCGAAAAACATTAAAATCAAGGATGCATTATCATCAGAGGGTGTTGCACAATGCACAACGTGTAACATATGACACACCCACTTTGGACCTCAAAGAAAATCTGCTATTATTTGGTTCCAGCTGGGAACCAACTTTTCAGGTTCCGAACCGATTTATTTTTGGTCGAAATGCTCCATCAATGGCCTGAAAGACAGAACCCAGAAATAGTTCCTTCTCAGACATTGCAATTACATGGTGATTAACATGTGGAAATCAGTGGATGTGCCATGCTCTCTGATTTTGTTATAATGTCAGATAGCGCACCCAAATTCCAAAAACTGAAACCAACCATAACCTCCCAGCTTGATATTTAGAGTATTTTAAAACATCAACACTGAGCTCTCTACCTCCAAAATCACATTCTCTCCTCACCAGTGCTCTTGCCTTACACGCTCCAAAATGGTTTGAACATTAACAAAAAGGCAGAAAGAAAAAAGAAAAAACAATTCCAGCTCTCTGCTTCAGGGGTGTCAAACCCATTACCAGTGAACATCTGCAAGTCATTCTTGGCAGAAGAGACACAAAGAGCTAAAAACCATAGTGTCTTCCCAGAAGCTCAATATCTGAAGCCTATATATGTTCAGCAGAGCTGTCTCACCAGCATGACGAGGGACAACTCAGCTCTCACACAGCTCCCTCTGATACCAGCCAAACAGTGTTTTTTATGTTTATGTTTTACCCTGACACATAGATTCACTAGATTCAGACCCCTTATATCAGCTGATTACACATTCTTCGTTTCCCTGCAATGTATGGAGCAGAAGAACCTGAGGCTCTCCTATACTCGCGTCAGGATGTCTCTTGTAGGCTGAGAGCAAGAGTTTTGACTGTCACTTTGTTAGACCGACTGCACCCTTAAGGCTTATGGGAAAATGAGTTTCACTTAAGTTGAAGTTCTTATAATTCAGTTCATGTTTGTCTGGTGGAATCATAAAACGCAGCTGGTGCTGGGGAAGATATTATGTGACCTGGCAGAAGTTTTGGGATGAAGGATGTGGTTGGTAGAGCTGATGCTGTGATTTGGTTTGAAGCTGTTAAAGCCAAACAGACCACAGTTACTTGCTGCATGTCTCCCTATACTGTCTCCCTCCCCTGGTTCTGCAGGGACTTTAACTGAGACTGAGAGGTCAGAATTAGAGAATGCAATTCAGATGTATTTTTCAAAGACAGTTAGCAAATTGTTTAATAAAATACAGAGCTATCCAAAGCACTCACGATGACAATAAGCTCATGAAAAAGTTAAATTGTATTTTACCTCTTACTCAGATCGCATACATCAACCTGGGTGCGTATTTTGTTATTATGTTGAAACTTGATTGTTGGTAGGAAAGCTGCATTGTATGACACTTCGAAAGTGGAGTTTAATCCTAGGCCTACCAATAAATTATATGGCTGTTTGGGGAAAAGTGCTGTCCTGTATTGTCAAGAAAAAATGCCTGGAAAGGTCCTGGAAAATGCCTTCTTGAAGAGAATGGGAACCCTATTATTCTTATTTTTGTATAATTAACCTTGTACTGTCCTTGCAGCGCGTATTCTTGTGCAAAAGTCCAAAAGTAGAATTAGCTCTGACCAGTAGAGGGCAGCGCACCATAAGAACTAATGCAAATAAATGAAATGTTTTACCTTATTAAACTCACTTTTTTAACTAATAACTTATTACTTTTTTTACTACTTTAATAACTTTATTACCAAATTAACTTTAAAGGCAGCACAAACCTTGATCTGTGTCTCAACCTATGCCATGTTGGGTCCTTGATTTTGAGGGAATTTGGCCTTGAAATGTTCATGACTTATTTTGTTTTTTGGTTTAGTGCCAGTCCAGAAAGTCCAGTGTGTTCATTTCATGTATTATTACTCTCACTGTCCATCACTCATGCTAAACCTTTTTCTTCTCTCCATACATTGCCTCCCTCATCTATTCAACACTATATATATTTATACAAGCAGTTTCTTCATCCTCCCTTTTCTGCAGGGATTTGTGAAGCTAGGTAGTTGCTCTTCAGATAGCCACGTATCTCGCTGCATCACCATGTGTCATTTATAAAGTGTGAAACAGTGTAACAATCAGGAAGGAGGTATCTTGGCCTGTACTCTTGGCTTTCTTTTCCCTCGGAATAAAATATCTATCTATCTATCTATCTATTATCTATCTATCTATCTAATCTATCTATCTATTATCTATCTATCTATCTATCTATCTTAAACCTGGAGTTTGGAGGGCCATGGACAGATGGGATGTGAAAGACTGCCCACATCAAAGCATGCTGTAACAACATAAGGGCTTGCTTTACACAATGAATTACATGTTATAAAAGAACATTAAAGTTGCAGTAGGTGATTTTTATAAAAA